TTAAAAGAACATACTATATAACCAAAATATCTGTTCTTCTTGGTTTGTTGTCTTATTGTTTATGTTTTTGTTTTCTGTTTTGAGTATAATAGATAAATCTGACCAACACAGTATACTCCAGTTAGAACATCTTAGTGGTGGTTTTAAGTATTTTTTATGTATTCTTTCAGTTCCCGCCACCATTACTGTTACTATCTCATTCTTTCCTTTATCCATTCATTCTTCAAGCATAATTAAGCACCTACTATGAATAAGATATTGTGTTAGGCCCCATGAAGGGAGGTTATATACAATGATAATCAGATCTTCCTTATGTGACAGTCAGATTTACCCTGTTTTATCTCTCATTATTTCTTCCTTGTTTTGTCTGATAACTTTCCCCCAACTTCATCCTTTTGCCTGATGTAGAAAAAACTCATACACTCATCCCCAAAATCATGGCAATCCCATTTGCTAAAATATCTCTATTCGCAACCTATACTGATTAGCTTATATAGGTAAGCCCATATACATATTTTATCATTTTAACCCCCAAATATGTGATTTATGATACTATTATCGATGTAAAAACTCAGGCTTAAAAAGTTAATTAACTTCCATAGTCAAACAACTTGTTCATGGATTTAAAAACAGGTCTAGCTGACCCTAGTGCCTATGTCCTTAATGAATATAAAATAGTCCTGATAATTAAAATCACCTTCCTGTGACTGCCAGTGAACTTTAAATGCCCCACTTTCACATTTCAGCATAGACACATTTGGCATTCATTCTCAGCACCCTGACCAAATTCATCATGACTGTTTTAGAAACCGGTTATACCTTCCAAGTTCCTATTAAAAATAAACCAAAAAAATGCTTAAAAACTTTTCTGGATTTCTTAGCTAATACAAATCCACAAAGCAGAAGTTCCAAATATAACTACATAGTCCTCTGGGTGATTTTTCAATGCCTGCAGGCTTTGAAGTGCTGTGGACTTGCCTTAATCTGTTGCTAGGAACATTGCACATCGCTCCAAACAACCTGCCAGTCTGAGAATCCTAGCGTGGGTGACACAAATGTGTCTTTTATCCAGGTCAGAGGATGGTGTGAGGCGGTATGAGAGGTCATGAGAGAGGAGGCATTCCAGGATAAAGAAATTAACTAGCGGAATAGGAAGTGAAGAAGAAGAAAGAATCCACAGGCCCTAAAGAAAAAGCTTTCTAGCTGAATCCCTCCCGTTTCCCACCACCCACACGCCCCTCGAGAGCTTTTGGAATCGGTTCAATCTCCTCTGCTAACACTTCAGAACGGCCAGCACACAGCTGACAGTGTCTCATTCCCTTGTCTCACCAACGCAAATCACAGATCAGAACCTGCAGATGCCAGAGAGGGATGCACTCGGAGGCCTTAGTCAAGTGTCAGATTCAAGAATCAGGGACTTAAGAGCGAGAAATCAATCTATAATTTTCCCTTCACACTTGTCTGGCTGCAGAATAAAAACAAAGCATCAGCTTTACATTAAAAAAGAAATTAGGGATTGACATTTATACCTTCTTTGCTTGCCTTTGTCTCAGGAGGAAGGCGTCTGGAACATAGAGGATGATGGGGCTGATGGTACAGAGAAACAACTACTCCTTTGTTGTAGTTTATTTTTAATTTTTAGTTTTTAATTACAGTTTACTGTCAGTATTGTTTTGTATGCGTTTCAGGTGTACTGCCTGGTGGTTAGACAATTATATCCTTTATAAAGTGCTCCTCCTGATATTTCCAGCACCCACCTGGCAACCACACATATTACACTCTCATTGACTATATTCCCTACGCTGTACTTTGCATCCCTGTGACTATTCTGTAACTACCAATTTGTACCCCTCAGTCCCTTCACCTCAAGAAAGGACCAGTTTGGACACCTCCCTTCTGCTATGGTCACTGCCATGATTGCCACCAGCCCAAGCCCCTCTCAGGCAGTAGGATGCCGTTTCCATACCTGCTCCTGGCTGCCTGTGACATGGTGAGTACAGCATCAACTCCGTCCGAGTTAGCACAGCAAAGCCCTCTTCTAGCATGCATGCAATTTCATGTTTTGAGATGCCGTTTCCATACCTGCTCCTGGCTGCCTTGTGACATGGTGAGTACAGCATCAACTCCGTGCGAGTTAGCACACCAAAGCCCTCTTCTAGCATGCATGCAATTTCATGTTTTACATCTAAACCTTTGTTCAACTCCTTTAGAATGTATTTCAGTATAAGGGATCAGCTTTTCCCCCCTCAAATGGATATCTAGTTGTATCAATACCTATTGTCTACTCTTTCCCCCTTTGTTTCAAAGTTCCATGCTTATTACACACTAAATTCTCATGGGAAACTTTGATAACTGAAGTGAAGAAACTAAATAGGGAGAGTTAAAGATTCCATGTCCTCTGAAACACTATATATATGCTCTCTCCTTTCCTAAATGTTTAAAAGTAAAAAGGAGAAAGGGGAAAACACCATATTTCTGAGGTTTCTTTAGCCTTGAGTAAGGGATTATTTTCAATACATGCTCATACATTCTAATTTTATAAATTAATTATTCTATTTGACTATAAAGGTTCTTTGAGCCCTCTGTACATTGCTGCTGACTCCAGGAATAGGGATATAATGAATGTCAGTTTTGCCAGATAGGCTGAAACTGAACTGCTACCTAATTTGTGAATGTTCCTTGCCATATGTTATGTTTCCTTGTAAGGGCATGGTTGTTTTTGGATATTTTAAAATAATAGATCAGCTTTTGTTTAAGTAAAATAATCAACCTATTTTACTCTTCTGAACTTCTTTAATGTGAAAATCAGACTGGAAACAGGATAAAAAGCTCTTAAGGGATGTGAAGAAAATTCTGCCAATGAGTATGGTTGATTTAATCATTTATTTGTTCATTGAACAATTATTTATTAACTAATGCCTGATGATTCAAACCAAAGGTGAATAGTGAATGTCCAAAAAGAAAATTCCTTTAATGATTCTAGTCTAATGAGTGTTTTACATGAACACTAATGTGCAAGCATTTACTGCCAGTGTCTAAATCAAATGGCACACAGCTGTGTGGGCCAAGTAACAGGTACCTTGTTATTCAGCAGAGGATTCGATGATTTTCAACCCTTTTGTTGTTAAAGTACTGAATTTAAAAAACAGAAACAAAGGAAACAAAAACCTTCCTGTAGTTTAGTAGGAGGGGTACCTGGATCACTGGGAACCTTCAGTGACCAGAGACTGTGGTCCATAGTGGACTAACCAGGTGAACACCACGCTTGGCCAGATGATGCCAAGTAGTCTGTTCCTGTTTGGGTGAGTTAATTTGTATTAGTCATGCCTTTTTTTCTGCATTCATGATGCTTTGACATCTCGGGTCTTGCTGACCCTGGTGAGGCTGGCCCCCCCAGGGCTAGACAATTCCTAAAGATAGCAAAGACTCACCTAGGACCATGCCTTTTATGTACAAATAAACAAATCAGCTCATACCCTAACTATCCTTTATCTGGCTCTCACACTCTGGGCCACTTGCCATCTGCTCTACACACCTTGAGGCCAGGTATCCAGAAAACAAGAGACAGCCCATAAGGTCCTAGAGCCTGCTGAAATTATTCAACCTGGCCACTCCTAAACCTGCCTACCCTTCCTTGCCTGCCCCTTCCTGAGGAAACCACAATAAAAGTTCTTACCCACATTTGCCCCTTCCCTCTGACCAACCATGGTTCTCCCCACGTGCTCCCTTTGTGGCATGACATGTCCCTCCTCCTCAGAACTGTGAGTAACAACCCTTTCAATGGGAATCGTCTCTTGATCTGTTGGTCTCACTCTACCTGAAGGATAATAAAACCTACCATTTAATAACATAGTTCTTCCGTAAACTTATAAAGAAAAGGAGATACTGCCTAAAGGTACAAAATAATCTCTATTAACATGTCAATGTGCTTTTATAAGAGTCCTTAGTCAAGTGAAACTCATTCTATAAGAGAATAGCAGTTAGAGAAGGGACAGCCTCCAGTTAGTCTTATACTTTATTAACATAATAGTCAAAGCATGCTGGTTATTAAAATCTTCCATCAGAAGAGAGCATATAAAAGTCTCTTTTTATGGATTTGATAAGTTGGAGTAGAATTCTTGAATATTCCGTAAAATCTAATATGCTATAGAAAACTTCAAAATAATTTACTATTGATGGTTTCTTAGCCATTAGAAATATTTGGAAATTGCAATGTGATTGTCTTAAGGTGACTATTTGAATTGCATACTTATGAGAATCATTTGGCTATTAAAATGTAAAGAATTTAATTCAATAGTAGTATTTTTAAAAATTATTTGCTGTGTGTGGTAGGAGGTAGCTATTAGAGGAAGCCTGGATTGGAATCAAATTTGAAGTCTGCCCAATAGAAATCATTTAAAGGTTTAAAAAAATAGGAATTGTATTGGTTGTAAAAATAAGTATTTGAGATAAATTGCTATGGTTAGCACTTCCTGTGGTGGCCAAGGACAACAGGTGGTCAGGATCTGGTCCCATCTTCCAGTACTATTCCATGTCCTTAGAAGAAACACTGGATTCTGGGCAAATGAGGCAGACTGCCTGAGTAGACTTACAGAAATGCTTTTTAGTCTCTGTCTCCAATGGAAAATCGCCTGTTGCCTTCTGCTCCTATCCCAGCTGCCAAGGCCTTGCAGCCCATTGTTCCACTAAAGGTCCAATGACTGGCCTCAGAGGGACATCCTACAGAGGAATAGTCATACCACACACCTTGCCTTACATGTTCCCTGTCTCAAATAACCCAGGCCTGCTTTAAGGAATCCGGAAGTAATAGTTAAAAGTTGTTGGGTTGGGGGGTGGGTAATGGGGGGAATAAGGACACATATGTAATACCTTAATCAATAAAGACATTAAAAAAAAGTTGTGTGTGTGCTCATGACTTCATCAGAATCTACACTACTTTGGGAGGAGTTAGTAAGCAAGAGAGAGAGAGAGAGAGAGAGAGAGAGAGAGAGAGAGAACTTAATCACCTTATTGCTAAAGTAAAGAAACAGAAAAACTGCTAATACTGCTTCAAGCCAACCCCATATACTATAAGCATATTTAACCTCAATTTATCAAATGTCTTTGTGAAAGTGTAACTATGTCAGTATGTGTAAACAATTGATAACCATTTCCAAGCCTAGTTAGAAACTAGATAGTGAGAAGCATGAAGAGAAGAAATGCTAGGTGAGATAGACAAGGCCATCCCCTGCCTGGGAGCCATTTATCCCATTCCTTCCCACTAACAACGCCACTTTTCTGCTCAAAGAGGGGGCAGTGATCTCTTGATCTCAAGGGAGGTGGGTCTTTGCCCAGTCCCAAGGGACAAATCACAATTGCTTTCTTGACCAGGCTGCAGAGATTGAGTGTAGGTCTAAAGAAAGCAGGTTCAGTAAATTAGGGACTTGGTAAGGTGAAATTCTAGAATAAGAAGGAGAAAAGGGAGAGAGAACACATTGTGTTAAGAAGTTTAAGCTTTTAAAAAAAGAGATACTTATCAACTATATAAATAAAAGCTAATCTTTTTCTTTAACTAGGAGAGTTTAATTGCATAGAAGTAAATGTGTTTGAACAGACTGGCATGTGCTTCGAGGTCAGTGCCTATAATCTCTAAACCTTTTTAAACCTCTTTGCATGTCCCGGTAAGCTATTTATCTAAAGAATAAACGCAGACACACAAGTCAAGGCTTTCTTTGGCTGTTTACATGGATATGGTTCATCAAATAGATGATTAAGTTGCTAGTCTTTTTGCACAGAAGGTAATCATGAGTGCAGAGGGACACCACAGTGGACCACAATCATCATGGAGAGATGGATATTCTTCTGTTTATAAAACAGTGCTCAGAGGCCCTCCATTGCATCGTTTCATGGTGATCAAGTCATGTCACACCCTCAGAAAGACATAGCCAAATGTTAGATCATGGCAGCAGCAAACCAAGGTAGCACAGGTTCCAATGGAAACAGGCCAACCATCGATCCTTTGTACGCCTCTCAAGTTCCACATCTTTTCAAATAAAACTATGACTGTTCTTAACTTGCAAAGAAAGAGTGACAGGGTTGGAGGTGGGTATTTCCTGCTCACTATTCCCCAGTGTTCTAACAGAGTCTGAAAAGAAGGAACCATGAAGACGGTGTCCAAGGAATTAGCAGTCCGAGTATATGTAGCAACGGGTGACCTTCTAGTTAGAATATTAGACTCTTCTTTCTAAACTGACATCATTCCAAAGGAAGACGAATGACTTTGATATTGTATGTTAGTTGATAAGTGTTTTGAACAATTTCAATGTTCACTGCATTTGAATATAACTTATTTTACCTTATTAGTTTTCAACTGCTGCCCAAATGGAGACCAACTTTAAGTACAACTTTAAAATTGACATTTAAAAAAAATTCGAACTTTACCAATCTCAGAAACAGAATTCAACTTAATTGAGACAGACAAGTACTTTCTGCAGGTTGACAATGTGTTTTATTAAGAAATTTTGCTCTTGGCTTCATTTCTGCTGACTCTGAATTTTCTTAAATATGCTATTGTTCTTTCCTTAGATCTAAAATTTGAACAGCTGAAGGATTGTTCGGTATTCCATCATAATTATTCCTCACATTAGCATATTATCTTTTCCCTCCATCTAAAATTTGATAGCTTTTTGAACTTTTTCTGACTCATTTATACCAAATACATTTCGCTTTTCTAGGCATGTGTTTCATGAGTACAAATCTATATATTTACTTAGATACAACAATACAATGTATCGCTTATATTTTGTGCAGGTTCAGTTAAGTAGGTAACATACAGAACTGTTGCAGGAGGAAGGCCGGCCAGGTCACCCTGAGCACACTCTGGAATCCTGCTATGCTGATCATGAGTACACACCTATGTCCCCACATACCTGGTGCACACTGCAGCTGCACTGTCCTTGTGCACGCAACATGTGGAGTTCCAAATTCAAATATGCTAATAACAGAGTAATTGTAAGTACATCAAAAGATAGC